TTTTGGTCCAGGTTTACCACCAAGAGGTTTATTTAGTGACAGTGGTTTCTTGTGCCTTTTCTAGTTGACTGCCATATTGAAAACAGCAAACTCATTTCATGCAGTCCAAATTAAGAGGTCTAAAATGTCACCGTTTGGTCACATCTGATTGGGATTGAGTTGAAATCCCAGGGTTAGAGAGCTTCTTTGTGCATTAATAGACCCTTTAATTAGCAGGCTTCGCAGTAAGACCTATCTTCTTGTGAAGGATTTATTAAAATCATGCATAAGCTCTACTACTGGAATATGCTAATTTATTTGTGACTCTCTTGGAATTATTCAGCAGAGGAGTTGAATATTCTTCCCAAGGACAGCCTTTGAAGACTGTTTCCTTGAAATAAATAATTTTTTAAAAAACCTAGCCTTTCTTTTGCATGTTGTCTTTGAGATAAACACTCACGAAACCAGCTGCAGTTTTGGGTAGAATATTGATGGGTTGCTTGCTTGTCGAATTAAAGATGAGCTGGAGTGGACTGTTCTGGAATACATTTCCATTTTGGAACTTTCCACTTTCAAGAGTGACCTTATTCAGTGCCCAAATGGGCACCTTTCCTCCGCATGGACACCTCATTATGTGTGTTGAGTCTCTGCTTTTTCAGTTTTGTATATTTTTTTTTTTTAGTGGTATTTTCCCTTTTTTAAACTTCCACAAAATATGGCTACAGTTCTTGGCTAATTTTGCTGAAACGTGACACTAGCCAAATATTTTTGTGAAAGAATTATTAGTCACACAAGAAAGAATGTAATGCAGTATTCTTAGAAAGTGTTATAACTATGCTTGACATGTAAAATATTTATCCAGACATGTAAACAAAGCAAGAGGTGTCTTGCCAATGTACCATCGTAAACCTAAGTTATTTTGAAATCTTGAGCAAGATGTTTTTCAGTTCTTGAAAATAAGGTAGGAAGTTCTCTGCTGACGTGAGTTGACAGAGTGGTAGTGGTTGGCTTTACCTAGCTGAAATTTTAGCCCCCGCTTGCCTCCCTACAAATAAATCAAGATGTGTTTTCCTGAAGAGCTGCAATTGTGCTAAATAAAACTCTTCTGTTTATTTTGGTTTCGGATTACTCTGGTATTGCTTGCCGAGTTTACTAATGAGGCTGCCCTCTAAATGGTAGGCTTTATGTTTGTTTTGCTTTTCGTCATTGTCTGTATCTTCATGTGAATTAAACCACTTGATTCGGAGAATTCCTTATTTCTACAGACAGTGGGGATAGTCTTCACTTTGTGCCTCTGCCCCTGAGGGGTGTCTCAGCCCTTCGGCCGGACAGTACAGCTGTAGTTTCCGTGGCTTCATCTGAACGGGCTTCCCATGACTTGCCCTGACGCCTGTTGTGGTGAGATACGGCAATGCCTCGTGAGGATGCCGGATAACTACCCTGGCAGGGGTCCCACGCCAGCCTGTCTCGTACCAAAGTTAGGTAAAGGTCTCCTGTACGGGGTTATGACACTTGAGTTTTGCCAAGCCCGATTCTGCTCTTCCGCGCTGGGCACAAACTGCTGCTGGAGCTTTGCTCAGTGCCCAGAGAGCGCCAGGGCCTGTGCTGCGGGTAGAGGGGCTGGCTTGCTGAGCTGTGCCCTCTGCCCATTCCGGTCCCCCTCGTACAGCTCCCCTTCAGGCCCTGGAACAGAGGCAGGGGTGTACAGGTAGATCAGAGCTTATTCAGGGACAGCAGTAAGCGCTGAGCTCCTCCCGACTGTAGTACAGATGAACCGCTTTCAAGACTGGCGTATTTACTTCCAAATTTAATTGCGTATCATTAAACAGTATGCAGTATCCCTGCTTTGGGTTGGTTTGGGGGTTTTTTGATGCTGTATGCGCTATTATTCTGAAATCTCTTTGGTGAATAGCTACTGTAACTGCATTCAACTTTCAAAAATCTGCCATCTATTGTTAGTTTTTCAAGCTGCTGCTGTGTAATTGGTTAAAAATGAATGGCAGTTGGAGTTGTAGCAGATGAGCTGGGAATGAGTGAGCAGTTACTTGTTGGGATCCCTTCCAGAGAAGGAAGGTGGAGTTTTAAGCTGCTTGTAGCCTTTCTAAAATAAGAGTCAAAGCAAGTAGGTGCTTTTTGCTATGGGCGAAACATCAGCTCGCTTTGTGTAGGATACTAAAAGCTCAGTAAGTGAGGAATTTTGGTTTGGTCTGAATATTCTCTCTGCTGATACTCTGCATTAAAAATAATCCACTCATATTAAAACTGTTGTATATTTCAAAATACGCTGATTAATACACCGACCCTCATCTCAAGAGGATTCACGCTGGACAGTTGCTGTGCTAAAAGCAAAGGGGGTAGTTGAGCCTTTATGGTGCTGCAGGCTGGTGTTGGTGTTGGGACCCTGCGTTGCAGGCCAGAATCGCAGGTGGTGGCGGCAACAGCCCCGAGTACTGGGCGTCGAACACTGTCTGCAGCTCCTGGGCCAGTGTGGTGCAGGAGACAGGAGGGGTTTGTGGTGTGTTCAGCCCTGCAAGCATGAGCTGAAGTGTGAATTTGTACCCTGTTGTCTCCTCCTTGGTGACTTTGGGGGTGAATGCTCTACTGCACGCTTTGAAAGTCAACAAGCTGCCTTGCTCTCAAGCATCGTGTGCTCTGTGTGGATTTTCATACTCCTGAATGATGGCAACCTGCCTCACCCTGTGTGGGACAATATGCTTTAGTGATTAGAGGCTGTTGCTCTTTTTTTTTTTTTTTTTTTTTTTTTTTTTTTTACATTCCCCCCAACCTCTTGAACAGGCTACAAATGCTTTATTGCACCTGTCTGGACAGACTAAATAACTGGGCGTTAAAGAATTAAAAGCTCGCCCCCAAACCAAAGGCAGTAACAAGTGGTTGCAATACATTGTCCATATGTACAGTACACATGTGAGTTAGTAAATTAGTGGCAACTTGTTTTTATTATGTTGGATTGTTTCGCTTGGTTCTAAGAAAGATACCTCTTGAGGCATTAACCTATTCCGGGGCTATGTGCTATTCAGACTTTAAAACTTGTCAGTACATACCTGTGCCTCATCACTGGTATGAGTCAGGATGAAATTAGTTTCCTACTTCTTCAGGTTCTATTTGCATTATGAGTTATATATTATAGATGATAAGTGATATATTCTGTTGTTCTGTGAACTTGTGTTTGCAGCAGTCTCTGAGCAATCCACGTGTCTTAGGGGAAAGCATTAAGAACCACAGAATAGATTGATTTGGTATTTGAACTGATAGAGGGTAACATTTCCAGGTGACATAGATGAGTAATGCCTCTGCAGTGCTGTGCAGAGGCACCCGAGCACTGGGAGAAGGCAGTACTCTTTATTGGGGCTCATTAGCAGTGCATCTCAGGGGCACTGACGTATCAAAATAACTCACTCTATCCTCGGTTACTGGAAATCTGTTTGGACCCAAGTCCAAGGTCTTCTGGATTTGGGAATCTGTATGCATAGGGTCATGTACCTGTTCAGAAATTCTGATAGTTAATTCCTCTCTGCCTGCGTAAGGGATGTGTGGCGGGAGTGTATTTGGCATCAAGGGCTTAATAAAAGTGTGCCTTTTCTGCCAGCGATTCCTGCAAAAACAAGCTGCACCAGGAATCTGGGGACAGAGAGGTTGGGGGGGGGGCTTTTACTGAAAAGAGGAGGCTTAAAATAGCGCTATTTGTTACAATACAGATTTTTATATTCAAACTTTTCCTGAATCGGCTGGGGGGGATGGGGACTTTTAAACTGAAATATTTACATGAATCAGACATCTGGGCTTTGGGGGAGTGACCATTGCTGCAGAAACAGTTTAAACTCTGAAGCTTTGCTGTGACTTGGTGCTTCCCTCTATTAAAGAAGGATTTCAGGATATTGGTGCTGGTAGGACTGAGAACATATGAGCCGCCAGTAAGTAAGGAGCTGTGGTGTGGAGAGGGGGTGCTTGGCAGAGGGTTTGCTCCGGAGTTACAGTAGGAAACGCGGGTGATTATTTCTGTTCAGAAGTTCTGATTGCTGCAGGTATATCAGACTTGGGGTTAGAGCTTTCCCAGAAATACTGTTGTCCTTGTGCTTGGCTTCTTGTAGTGTAGATGTTGGAATTGAAATGGTGTGAATTTGAAACCGAGTTAGGTTTAACTGCCCAAGAAGAAAAATTGAGAAAGAAAATCGCATTTTAAAATCTAAAGGGATAAGGTAGGTCTTGCTTTTATGCTTTGTTGAAACATGTTGGGTTTTTTTTTTTTCTAAAAGCTTTATAAATAGTTTTGCATAAAATGGTGGAACAGAGAACACAGGGCAAAACTCTTATTATCTGTCTGCTATTGCTGCTGTTGAAGATTTTTACATAAGTAGTTGTAGCTTCATCTAACACAGGTGGAGACAAAGTGTAACTCATAGGTGTCGCCTGGCTTAAGACAATTAGCTCAGTATCTAGAGAAGGAGATCCTGCTTATATTTGCAACAGCTCATCTTTCAGCAGGGTTTTTCCCCTTACCTTGGTCAGATCTGCACACTCCAGCCTGCCTAGAAAGGAGATAGGTATTCTATGTTGGCATGGCCGGCTTTATTTAAATTGCTGGCTGAATTTAGTCAGATAGCGGTAGCACAGCTCCCAGTACTATAGTGTTAAGAAGCTCTTTAGAGGATCAAATATAAGAATTATTCAGATAATGGTCTTAAACCCAATAGTGTGAATAGTGGAAATAGCCTTTATAGGTTGCTCGGTTGTGCTCCTTAACACTAGTACCTTTGAGCCTCATGGGGTGGAAATAGGCCGAGCAAAGTCTTAACCTGTTGCCTTCTTGAGAAATTGTATTCCCTTCTGAGACACCCAGTGGTAGAACATTATGGGATGCCCTTCATCTGCTCCAGTTGATGAGGCTGCCACAGTATAACTTTCCTATTTTGGAAAGGTTTATAATAGGTTACTTCAAGTTAATAAATCTCAATGGGTTTTCTGCATGTTTTAGTCCCGGTGGTTACAGGTTGGCAGAAGAAATGGCGCAGTCGGTGCGGGGCGCTGATGTGGGTCCGTCCCATCAGCAGCGACACGAGCTTTCAGCGTGTAAACCGGGCGCTGGCAGTTACGGGAGGACCTGGTGAACCGTGGGTCTTAAATCAAAGTGTGGATGTGCAGTGTTAAACTATCAAAACCATATTGCAGACTGTAGTTTTGAATTGCATTTGTAGAAACAGTGGATTTTTGTGAAAAGGCAAGTAAATGAGTAAGTCTGTAAACGTTGCTAACACTGAAGCACTATGCACAGAATAGGAGAAAACAATCAAGCATTTCATCAGCCTTCTTGCTGTCTCTTGCCAGAATTTGAAGGCTGTCCTGCATTGCATCAGTCCTGCTGGACATTATTTTCCATCTATATTTTGAAGCCAGATGCAAAATGATTCCTCTGTATATTGATAGAGGTATTTCATAACAAGAGAAAAAGCCTTTTGTAACGTGCCTGTGCTAGTTCAACCTATAAATCAGTGGTTTATTGTCTGGTTGTGTTTGTCCATAGCAGAAAATGAAGCAAGGATCGTTAGCAGCTCTGAGAAAAGCATGTTAAAGGCTCCAGGTAGATTTTCTCTCTGATGCAACCTGGGCAAATTCAGTTTTATGTTGTACTCCTGTGGTACAGGTGTATCTACAGGTGCCAGCGAGTGGCCAACCTCAGACCTGCGAAGTCTCACGTTGCCTTGAGTGTCCCTTGGTTGATTCAGCCTCACAGGGCAGTGCCTGGGGCTCAGACTCCTATGCTGGAAGGTGCAGGTGCCCAGGGCAGCCTGGTGACACCAGCTTCCTTGTGTGTGTGAGACTTCATGTGTGGCCCCTCACCTTCTGCAAGAGGATAAAAAGACAAGTCTTATGCTTCAAAGAGAAATAGTAAATGAGGAACCACATTTGTGCTTGACAACTGGCTGGAAAAATCATGTAGAAATAAATAAATAAATGTGGGCCCGTCACTTGCTTTTATTTTTGAGTAGATAAAGAATCGATAGGCTTATGTTTACTCCAAGCAGCTTGTAAAAGGAAAGGCAGCTTCTTGCATTTTAAACTCTAGAGAAGCTGTACACAATTTAAACTGAAGATGTGTTTTAATAGGCAGGTTTTGTACTTTGTCTCTTCTGATCTCCTAATGGTGCTGTGTGTCCCTCTTACTGGGAAGGCAAAAGGGAACGAAGCGGAGCATAAGACAGGAGGCTCTGTTGAGACTTAAGAGCAGGCACAGCCTGGCAAGTTTTTCTCCAGTGCCCTTCTATGCTGGTTCCTTTCCATGCCTCCTCCGTTTTATTTTTCCAAATCTTCAGGGACTCCCAAGTTACGGGTGTGGGATTGAACAGAAGCTGGGGCCAAAATTCGTAGGGCTTGACTCCCGTCTCCTTCGTGCAAATTCAAGCCTGCTGTTTTCAGTGGGTTTCCTTCAGTTTTACAGAATGAAACCCCAGATCCATCCTCAATCTTTAATAGAGCAGAAAGTTTTACTTTTTGCCTGCCTTTCTAACGGTTGGATTGCTCTCATTCTGCACAGCCCTCTGGAATGCTTCCCTGCGACTGGGGAATTTTTGTTGTCACTGAACTGAGCTGACAAGCAGTGTGTGGTGTGGTTTTTTTCCTCTTCCTCCCTCTCTCTGGGGAAGTACACATCTGATGATCAACAGCAAATAGTAATGAAAATTAGAAAGTTGGATTGCTGCCTACTTGCCATTATGATATTTTTTTCATAGCAAGATTGATCACTGCTTTTTTACTTAAATTCCAAAATTGTGTAGAGGGCACAAGAGCAGACCAGCTGAGAGGAGATGAACGTGAGTGACGAGTAGTACACGAGAGAGGCCAGGATTGCTAACTCGGACTGATACAGCTGGACCGCATCGGGCCTCCAGCTGGCAAACCTGCACGTTGCGTACGGCACAGCGAAGCCAGCGGCTGTCTCCTGGCTTGGATGTCTCTGCGCTGCACTCCCTGTGGTGGGTCAGATGTACCCTGGGCCGATTCGCTCGTCCTTCTCGTTGTTTATCTTCAGCCCCTGAGATTTCTCTTTTTCTCTCCAGAGGAAGTCAATCATTGCTAATTTGTTTTTCTGCTTTTCTGTTTAGAGAAACTTTTTGGCATGTTCCAAGGATATCTTTTAAGAAATAAAAGCAAGGGTAAACCTTTGTGAAAGGCGTGCAATTATATTAAAAACACATCACGTTCTGAAGTAGCAGACTGCAGAATTAGGTCAGGCACACCCTGCGTATGCGTGTTTCCTGCTTGTGCATATTTCTGAGAATGATTGTACATGGGAATGTTTTTGTCGATCAAAAGGAGTGTTGTCACCTTAAAAATGAGTTGTTTGGAGTTTTATTTAAGTCATCGTGGTTACGCTGTGGTTTAGGAAGAGTGGAAGGTTGCTCACCATCCGATTCACTCGCTCAATGTGCTGGTCGTTCATCACCGTTCGCAAACCGAGCGGTGAAGTAAGGTTACTCACTTCTATTTTTACTCTCTTACAACTTCCTTCTTGTCATGCCCGATGACAGTGAGGCAGTGCATAAGCTGTCAGATGTTACAGTAAAGGGCTTTGCTCTTCAATGGATTTTGACAGCTCAGCTTTTCATGATTTTTCTTTGAAGTTTCTGTGAAGTTCTACAAACTTGATACCTAAAATATTTTATAATGGCACTTTAAAAAAAAAAAAAATCCCACGGGTAAGGATAAGGAACAAGTAATACAAGACAAAGTTAGAAACCAGCAAGTCTGTTCTGATGCTTTTGTTATCGTTTGCTTAATAAAATGTCCTGCATCTAAATGGGTTTTCTCTGCTGGATGTGTTGCTGTATGTGAGTTTCTCTGCACACACCACGCGGGCGCAGTTTGTGTTGGTCTGTACAAGCTGAGCCGTTCAGCTCCTTCCAGTAGCTGGGCGAGAACTGTGTACCTTGGGAAGTGGGTTTGGCTGTGCCTCAGATTCGTCAGGGTGGGGAAGGATAATGTGCTGAAGATCGTCCCAACTCCTTCACATTCCAGTACAGCTCCTTCTTTCTTAAGAATTACATAGAACAAGGATGAGCCTCTTTATCTGGGCAGAAGATTTGTGGTGTGAATTGTTTGTGCCAAAGATGCATTGCTAAATAAAACTCTGTCTTTGGTTTGTGTTTAAAAAAGAATTTAAATATAATTTCCATATTTTTCTCTCAACAAAAATGTTGGCTCTAAACAAGTTCAAATAAAGATGACTTCACCGTGACCATCAGCACGTGGGCTGGAGAACAGAGAGGCTTGTTCAGTTGCAGGGTTCATTCTTAACATTGGCATGTTGTGGAGGGAGGGGGGGCCTGCGTGCTCCAAGTTAGGCAAAACCAACGGCCCGAGGCAGATGTGAATTTTGATTTCTGACTGTGATAGTGGTTTCCTTTAAAAAAAAACAAAAAAAAACCAAAAAAAACCAACCACAGCCTATTTAGGAGCTCTTTCTTTCTCTCATCTTTAGTGCTGAATGTGACACTGGGCTTTTGATATTCATGAGTTCCCAGCTCCCAAAATCCAGCTGTCCACAAGCCGTGAGTCTTCAGCTCTTCTGCAGAGTAGTCCCTGCCTGGTCCTTCAGGATCTGAGCATGCAAACAAGTTTCTGAGAAGTGAGCTAAAAAGTCAGGGTGCTCATTTACTGCTCGTGATCAGTTCTGTGGTACCAGCCAATTTATGCTTACCAGAAGGTAGAAACGTGCGTGAAAACAGCCCTCAGAAGAAGATGGTAACGTGCTAGTATGTGTCCTGCTGACCACAGGGTAATTGCTGGTGTGTGGCCAGGAGCCTGAATAGTGAACGTGCTAAAAGTCAGTGTAACACTTAGTTAGTTAGTTAGTGGGCCTGATACTCTGGCTGGTCCTGAAGATTATGTCTCTCTTTCTGTGTCCCTGTTTTCTCTCATAAAAGACTTCCCTGCAGTGCTTCCCAGGGCTCATAGGAGCAATGAGCAGTTAATATTTGTAAAAAGCTTTGAAGATGAATAGTGCTAATTATTATTTATAAGTATTCCTTCTCGCCACGGGTAGTTCACCTTGATCCTGGGCATGAAAGGAAACCAAGACATTTGTAAGCCTTGAGTATGGCCTTCTGAAGTCTTTATGTACTAGTTTCCCCACTGGGTTGTGTGCGTGATTGCAATATATTTGTCATGTTAAATGACTAGTTTGGATGTTGTTGTACCAGCCAGAAGTGCTAAAGGAATCCTTACTCATTACCTCAATTCTGCTGACACATAATAGGTAGGATTTGGGCATGTCGAGAGGGGACAGAAGACAGGAAAATGCCATTCATTAGCCTGGCCCAAGTCAGGTTGTCAGCAGGGCTGAACATTTGGCTTCCCGTAGATTTAATGAGGAAAGTCAGATCTGACGCTTGTAAGAGCCACCACGATTGCGAAGAGCATCTCTTTCAGAATCGTTCTGTCACTGCAGTTTTTAGCACCTTTCACTGGTGCTAAACTTAAAGAATGAGGAGGAATTTGTCAATCAGCTGGGGCTTTTTTCCCTAAAAATCCTGCTATGCAGATTAGGCAGAAAAAGGGGGGGAAATGATCAGGTAAAGTTCATGTATTGCAGTTCCTACATATCTGTTGATAGTTCTGTAAGTAGTTTCTGAGATACTGTGGTAGAGGACTCTGCTGAATGGCCTGCAGGATCTCTTGCACCGTGTGTGCATTTAATTTGAAGCTTAAGGTGATGAACAAAGATTGGCAACATTCATCAAGCCCAGTTGGATTGTTGTGAAAATTCAGTCCGTAGGTGTTTCACGCTATGTGACATCACTCAAATAGGGCTTATAAGGCAGGCCTCTTGTGAAGTTATGGAATGTGAGTGTGCCTTGATAAAGCTGCTGTTTGCCTGGATATAAACTGCTTATTGACCTGACTCCCTGCCTAAATTCTCCTCTCTGTTAAGTAATGTATTAAATAATCAAGAGATTGTTCAGACAGTGCAAGGGGAGCTTATTGGCAGAACTGCAGCATTGGAGCACTCTTGAAAGAAGGAGGCCTAAGTAAATGTTATGCTTATCAAGTTTTCTTAATAGATTTCATGTCAGCTCACAGAGCAAATTTTGTTCCCAAGTGAGTGTGTCAGTATTTCAGTTTTACCAGGGAGCTTGTTTCAATACAGAAAAACTGGGGGGGGAGAGAGTTCCTGAGACACAACCCAGTACGTTGTTTGTGTTCCTCTCGACAGCTAGCCGGTCTCAAGAACAACTCCTCTTAAGGGCTTTCCTAAGATGATTATGATCCACTCGACAAGGATATTTTTTTCCCCATCTCAAGACACTTCTGCCTAAGTAAATCAAACTGCAGTTTTAAAAATATGTTGTGACTTTCTGTGCAGTCACCAAATTTTAAAGCATTTTGGCCAGAAAGTGTCGCATAATTATAATGTTTGGAATTCAGTGATGGTTTGAAACCACAATATTAGTTGTATAAATAGTTTAACATTTACAGCCTGGAAAACTCCATTTTCTCACAATAATTACAATAGACTGTATGAAATAGGGGAATGGTTGCTACATTTGAAACTGTCAATTCTGGAATTGATTTAAAGGCTTTTGGGGGGTGGTTTTTTTATTATTTTCCAGGGTGTTGTGAAGTATGTGCATTTGCATGTTTGGGTTTACTTTGAACGGTGTTTTCTGCATATTCTGTATGTTTACTCATTTATATAGATCATTCCTGGGACAGTAGGTTTGTCCTGCAATTGCATGAGTGGGGCAGTTTGTGGAAGGCACATGCAATCGGTACGTTTACCCAGAGAAGCTGTGGCTCCCCCATCCCTGAAGTGCTCAAGGCCAGGCTGGATGGGGCTTGGAGCAACTTGGTCTGGTGGGAGGTGTCCCTGCCCATGGCAGGGGGTTGGAACTGGAATGTCTTTAAGGTTCCTTCCCACCCAAACCATCCTGTGATTCTGTGTTGGTATGTTATGTGTGGATATAGAGGACTCCACGCGCCCATGGCCCAAGAGCAGCCCGCTGGCCTTTCTTACTACCTCTTTGCTGGCCTGACACACGAGAGAAGAGGGTAAAAGATTGCCCAGGTTTATTCACAGGGGGGTTGTGGTGCCCTTTGCTCAAAAGGCAAAAGAGGATGGGTTTGTTCATGTGTGACCAAATGCAAGGCAGCATTCCCGGGGACTGTTGGGTTTCTGGTGGGACTGGTGAGGGGGTCTTGAGGGTCCAGGCAACCAGTGCAGTGTGTCCAAGAAAGCAGTCTGGAACGTGTCGGGAGAGGGAGTTTTCTGAGCCGATGCTGGGTATTTGGTGAGAGGAGATGTGGATAGTGATGCACTGTGCGCTGTTAAGTTTGCTGGAACTAAGATGACCCTCGTTGGCTCCTCGTGTTGCTGTTCCTACCAGCCAGCCAGAGCTTTAAAAAAAGAAAGAATACAGTACTTCTTCACATGGCTTTGCTGTTGCCAGAAATCTTCCTTCTGATGAATATCACATGATGCGTAAGCAACAGATTTTCTAAAAATACACAGATATAATAGTGCTGGCAACTTGGTATTGGTTTTACGGAACAAGAGGAAGGAATTGTTACTCTTTTTTTAAATTTCTAATTAAGAATGAAATGCTTATGCTGACTGCCAGTAACAATGGGCTTGAAACCCACCGCTGAACTGCTCATTAAGGCCTTCATCCTCAGCAGGCCCTGACCAGAAAACTCGCCAACTCTTATTTGGCATTTTGTTGGTTTATTAGTGCTGTATTTTTATCTGGTTTGTATCTAACCACGTCAGTGTTCTGCCATGCTTTAGAGATGGCACCCGCAGGCCCTGGAGTCTTAGTTCAGCCAAGAAAAAGACACAGGACAATTGTTCTGCAGGGAGGAAATTGGGAAAATTCATTAATGAGGAAATTGGCGTTTTATGTTTGAGAGTGTGAAAGGAAAACACTTCAAGCCAAGAAAGGAGAGCTGTTTCTTGTCCAAGGCAATAGTGGGATGAAGTAAATGCCAAAGAGATTGAGGGAAAGAGCAAGAGAGATCTGTTAGGAGATACAAAGGAGTGAAGTGGGTCTTAAAGGCAGGGACAGGGAAGAGTTTCACTTGAGAGTTCAGTGGCCAAACAGCGAAAACGGACGATGTCTCTGTGCATCTGCTGAAAGAACGTTTAAGGTTTGAGTGGCATTGGTTAAAGCATCGTGTGTGTCGGGCTGAGCCAGGGTACGATGGACGTGAGGCTGCTGCAGTCACGGCTGCTCTGCGTGATATGAGGATTTCTTGTTGGATTATGTTGGGTTAAATACTGGGGTGAGCACTATATGGCGGGAGGGTGGTAAATCAAGACAACGGAAGACCAAAAAAAAGCAGTGGTTGGGAGCAAGGAACCTCCTAGTCCAACCTCAGAGTGGTTGAGAGGCGATGCCTGAGCTGCTAACTGGGAAAGTGTTATATGGCTGTAGCCATGTTGCAGAGCTCATTTTGCCAGTGCTAGGAATCGAGAGCTGGGTAAACATTTCTAAAGGGCTCTCGTGGTCTGGAGGTCAGGCAATTGCGAGGAAGGTATTTGCAGGAACACACGTGTGATCTAAAGACATCAGTGGCTTTAGACTTGCTTTTTAAAAAGCAAAGGTTTATAGATCAAATAGGCCCCTGGTTCCTTTTTTTTTTTTCCTCTTCCTAGGTAAGTGTAGGGGCATAACTAGCATCATAAGCCTCTCTGAAACACAGCAAAGGATCTGAAGGAACATCTTTTGAGCCCGAGGGACTTTGCAGATTTGACTTTCATTGCTTGAGAGTTTCTTTCAAAACAATCTTTTTTTTTCTCCTAGCTCTTCTCTTAGGAAACGCAACCAACTCCTCACGTCACGGAGGCCCAGCATGAATGTTAACTGTGCTGGTGGGACAGACTGGTCAAGAAATCTGGAGTCCAGTTGCTCTGTGGAAAACGTAACTGTAGCAGTCCCTGAGTCAGAAGAAAGTAATGTGGTGCTAGGAGGTCACAGCCCTGCTGCAGTTCCCAGGACTGAGGGTGAGGATAATGTCTTCACTTTATAGTAATCTTTAAGGGAAAATTTTAAGGGACTTTGGTGGAAGGAGGGGGGGATTGTTATGTTTTGGAAAAATGCCGATATCCCAATGCAGTTTGCACTGGGGAGTATAAACCCTGCCTTTGCCAGGCTGGTGATCTAAAGGGCAACAGGCCACGGTCTTGCTTTCTGGGCAAGATCATCACATGGGTATGCCCTGGCCAGCCAACTTGCAGCTCTCCCTGAGTTTGTCCCTGGGCAGAGTACCTGAAAGTAGCTGGGCAGTCCTGATGAGCTGTGTCCCCACCATGCACCGCGCATCAGGCACTGCTGGCTTAAACCGCCGCTGGTGCGGGCTTCTGCTCAGCTTCCCTGTGAGAGCAGGTACCAGTACGTGGCATCTGTGTCTCTGATTCTGGCCTTGTTTAATTCCTGTGCTCCTGCTCTTTACGTACTGAATCCATCTTGCTTTAACAAGGAGTATTAAGCATCATGGTTCATCAGGACAGTTTTCATCCGAAATCCAACTGCTGGCTCAATTTGAAAAGGCAGTCTGGTTTTATAACGTTATAATGTTACCCTGACAGTTGTCTGTGTTGACATCCTTTGTTACTGTATGACTCGGTTTTCTCATTACAGTAGGAAGTGTTACTATGAAATGATGTTTTTCAATAAATTATATCTCACCCGTGCAATATTCATTTGTCTGTCTCAGGTTTAGATTCTGAATGCCAACACACTGCTTGTCCAGTAAGTCCCCAGATCAGTAGCATGTTGTCTGCTCCTGAAGACACGCATAACTGTCATTTCCAAGATGGAAATAAGAGACAGTCAGAGTATTTTAATACCCAGGAACGCCATGGATGCTGTGCTTTGTCTTCAAGCAACAATTCACAAACAGTGGCTCCAGAGAAAGTGACGCTTGTGGTAGATGGCACTCGCTTTGCAGTGAATCCACAGATTTTCACTGCTCACCCTGATACTATGCTGGGAAGGTGGGTGATTTCCACTATTTTCAAGATACCTCAGGGGGGTCAAATGTTTGCTAAAATGGAACAAACCCCAGATGTTTGTTTTGCGATCTCATCTATACGCACAAGCGAAGCAAGGTTGACCTCATTTGGAACTTGGCTGTGAGTGAGGCTTTGAAGACAAGACCAGATGTAGAGAGAGTTGGTAGTTCCCTAGATAACATTCTCCCTTCAGTTCACTTCCTTCAAACAATGTGCACTTTTAGCTAGACATGGTCTGCTTTTGTCTTCTCTCCAAGCGTTCGCCTGGTTTGTAAGCGGTA